CCGGTCCAAATCAATTTTTGAAAAAGAGCTCCGTTCACGACATCATTGAGTCGTGAACACTCTGGCTCGGCATAATAACTGAACTTCGCAAGCGCTGCAAATTTAGAAGGCAAAAAGAGCAAAAAGCCGGACCGATGCTTGTTGTTGGTTTTTTGTGCAGGCAGAACTAATTCTGATCATCATGCATTTTTTAAAAATCACCTTTGACTGCGTGAACAACCTTGGCTTCGGTGGCTGTGAGACCAGTGCGCCAGAAATACTACGTCGAGTTGCCGACTGGCGCTGTTCCGCACTTTTGTCAAATTCAAATTCTTCCGTTTCCTTAAAAAAACACAGAAATCTTAAGGCTCAGAAAATCCTAAGGAATTTTGAAAATCGAAAGCCTCAAAAATATTTATGGCTATAGTAAGCAAAAAAAAAGCTAAAGGAAAAGTTGTGGTGGCGTTAAAAATTACCTCACAAATACCCAGCAGGTGTGGTGACGAGCTTAACTTGCGCAGGCCACTTGAACCGGGGAACGACGCCTTCAGTCGACCAATAGCTGCAACATACATCTTAGTTTTTAAATCGCCTGATATGACTATGTGAGTTAGTAATGTGATACTGCTCGAACAGTGGCTTAAAACAGGCAAACAACGGATGTTAGGAAAATGAGATATCACAAAAATTTTAGTTTTTAAAATGCTCTAACTCAAATTGTACAGCCTCAGGGCTGCGCCACGGATGATGCCCCGATCCAGGTAGTCCTTCAACATATTCACAACCTGCCCCCTCAAAGCCAGTGAAACAATCGCTGCGCCTGCTTAATAGATTTTGCCTCCCCGGTCTCTACTTTGTGCTGAAAAGTATCCGTTTGAACCAACTCAGAGTGTTCCAAGGCGAAGGCATCTGCGAATTCTCCAACCATCTGCCTGAACCAGTACAATTCATTATGGTGTTAGAGTATTTTCGACAGAACGGTACTCTTGTGCTGAATGGGGCACGCCGTGGTAAATCCTCAGGCCTGATTACCGCACAGCAATTAGTTTGTTCGTATGAAACGTGTGTTGCACAAACACGAAGCACTGAATGACCTGTTTTTACTTTCTGAGGAATACTGATGCTTTTCAG